AGAAAACTTCAGCGCGCATCCAACCATGTAAAAAATATTGAGTTTGTTGCATCAGAAAATTTTAAACTGATTTTTAAACACAAACGCAGGAAATTCACGTTTGAGGGAACACTGGTCTCTTGGAGGCAGGGCAGGGGAAATTAAAAAAACAGTGGGTACACACTTACCTACCGACTTAAGTAACTTTATTAGTAAAGATGCAGGTACAAATCCAACTGCACATTTGAATTAAGATGTGAATTTACACTGGCACTGTTATTTCTGATTCTGCTGAGACTGAATTTGGGAGGCAGTTAGGTAAAGTTAGGTTAGGTCAGGTTATGTCAGCAAAAAATATTTCAGCCATACATTTTAAAATGTATTCATTAAAAATATTTTAGGTAACACAACCTGACTTGAGTTTTCTGCAAAAACTGACTTTGGGGGGCAGTTAGGTAAAGTTAGGTTAGGTCAGGATATGTTAGTTAAAAATATTCCAACTATGGATTTTATATGTTCATTAAAAATTATTTAAATTAACATTAATACATATTTTAACTAACATAACCTGACCTAACCTAACTTTACCTAACCGCCCCCAAAATTCAGTCTCAGCAGAACCAATGAAACAGTGCAAGTGTCAATTCACATTGAAATTCATTTAGAGTTAGTAATGAATTTGATTCAAGAATAAAACGGACTGATGGTAAGGCTGACAATAGCATACCACAGGATCAACAGAACAGGGTTGTTGAATGATTGGAGTGTGTCCACCAAGAACGTTCAGTGTGCCGTTCTTAGCGACATCTATATAGATGTAGTTTTGCGCTTGGGTCCCCCCAACTAGGATAGCTCCGAAAAGCCTCCTTCACATCAACCGTCGACACTTGAATGAAAAGCAGAACAAATATGCTGCGTTTCCCCCTTACTAAGCACAAACTCCACAAATATTTTCCACGTGATTTAGTCCGACCCCTGCGTGGATCCATAGGCGCCGCCATGATGGCCCGCGCAAAAGGCCTAAACGGGACATTGACTGTTTCTTTTTACTTTGTGACGCCGCACCAATCCAAACTGGCTGACGCAATACACGTGCGCGCTTGCGTCAACCAACTCGCGCCTGTATCCCTGAGGCCTAAGAGAGCCTCACTTTGTCTATAGCTCCGAAACCAAACGGTCGTCACGAGAATCAGTGCCTTTTATCATGTGTACTGTATTAGTCATAATCTGCTACCTGAGTGAGTGCCAATATAAACTGCTACCGTTGTGTTCCACATAGTGTGTGCTTTTCTACAAGAAGGTGCCAGCGCCTAATTGTGTGTGTGTAGAGACAAAAGTCTTACTGGGGGCTCAGCTGCGCAAGAACAAACCATGGCGACCCCAAATGAGCAAATTGTGCAAAGTGAAATGGACAAAGTTTCTCCAAGTCCATCAAGCGATTCTGCATCGGCAATCGCCCAAAACTATTGCAACAACAATCAATGGGCACACCTCATGCTACTGGCCATACGATTGTACTGTGCGACCTCACAAATCCCACATATCTTGGGAATCAAGAGGAACTTGTTGCAGCGCTCCAAGCGCAAGGTATACAGCCGATCAACGTGCTCCAAAACACAACACCCGGACCAGGAGCCGGCCCATCCGCCGCCGAACTCACCGCCAATATCACCAAATCACTGCTCCGATGCAGAGCGGATTTCCCTAAGCAAGCGCAAGGAGAGGACTTTGAAGTCTACCTGTGCCGACTAGAAATTGCATTCAGTCATGACGGTACCTCGAATAATACCAAAATCGACTGCCTTATTGGGCACACGACTCCCACAGTCGCGGCGGCAGCCCAACGCCTCTACAACAAGGGATATCACACCTACGACAACATCGCCGACTGGCTCAAAACACAGTTCGGGCTCTCGCCCTTCAAACACTTTACGAGATTCCTAGCCCTATGGCACCTGGAAGACGAATCATGGGCACAATTTGGCAATTGGCTACAGTGTGAGTACATCCGATATCTACCACTCAGTGCAAACGACCTACCAGGTCAAGAAAAATCCATCACCGCCGCACTCATTGGACAACTACTGGCAATCACCACCGGAGGGCTCCACACCCACCTATACTCCAAGGCAACCGCCGATCAAACCCTGACATGGGTCACATGTCTCGCGTACGCAGACAAATATTGCCGCATGCACCCCAACACACCACGCGCATCGCCGGCCCTGCAGAACACGCAACCAGGTAACCGCCAACCAAAAACAACGGCATCAGGTGTACAGAAACATTACTGCGACCACCATCAACAGTACATTCTCCACACAACTGCCAAATGCTCGCTTGGGCAAAACCCAAGGCCCAACACGGCTATGGGCAACGAATCCCCACGCAACCTGCAATTGTGTACCTACCACCCAGGTGGCCTTGTTGCACACTCGAAAGCAGACTGCCGAAACAACCCGGCCAACCAGGTAAACACGCCTAACACACAAACGGTCCAACTGACTAAATGTGTGCAATGAGGACTTACAGGTCACACGGCAACCAACTGCCAGAACCAGGGAAACGCCAAGATTGGACAGTGATGGCTGTCCTCTGCTCAATCCCCCAAGGTACAGACGACAGACTCACCATCATCATTGGCATCACGGACAAACGCGTCACAGCACTGATCAACACTGGAGCCACCAGGTCATTCATGGCGACCGACGTTGCAGCCGAAGTAGGGCTCACACCCCATCCGACAAAGGCAAAGATCTCCGCAGCCCTCTTACACATCTCCGCCAACATCAGCCACTCAGTAAGTACCACTTTTTCACTCGGTTCTGCCGACTACTGCGCAACCTTCTGTCTACTCGCAAATGCGAGGTACCCAATAATTCTTGGCCTAGATATGCTAAAAAACCTCCTGTTTTGTGTAACACTCAATGGCCAAAGAATATTTTCCGGGTTCCAAACCATAAAACCTATCAACAAAATCCCACAAGCAGAAACCGGCGAAGGCATTACGTTTGTAAATGGCTCTCCCGCCGAACAACAGGTGGTCACCCACCTACTTGCCAAATACGCGGACAACATCTTCCAATGGTCCGGGAAACACGGCCTGTTTCCTCAACACGTTGCATCCATCCCGACGAATGGCCAAGATCCCAAACCACCACGGCGCATCCAACTGTTGCCCAACAAAATACCAGCAATGACAGAAATCCTTGCCAACTACACCAAAGCCGGCATCATTGAACCGGCGCAATCCACGGTCAACTCACAGGCATTCCTGACACCCAAAGATGAGAACCCCAATGCACCAGCAATACAAAGATGGCGTCTAGTAGAAGACTACTGCGAAATCAACAAAGTCATACTGGCAGACAACTACCCAATGCCAGTAATCCAAGACATCCTTGATGCACTGGACAGGCAAAATGCATACTTCTGCTGCCTGGATCTACACTCCGGGTATCACCACATACCCATAGCCCACGGAAATTGCCACAAAACTGCATTCACAACCCTGATCGGGCAAATGCAATATACTGTGATGCCGTACGGCCTGAAGACTGGCCCAGCCATCTTCCAACGGACCATGGAGACCATCCTGCAACAACATCTCTACAGCCAGTGTCTTGTATACATCGACAACATCATCGTCTTCGGAACCACGTTCGACCAAGTGCTGCAAAACCTCTCCAAGGTTCTACACACCCTGGCGACAGCTGGTGCATCAATCAACATCTCCAAGTCCAAATTTCTGGCGGAATCTATCCACTTCTTGGGACACATCGTTGACAAAACAGGAACATGACCAGCAGATGAACATCTCAAAGCCGTACAAGTGTTCCCCAAACCCGAGACCACCAAACAAATGCAGAGGTTCTTGGGGCTAGCAACATACCTGCGCTCGCACGTACCAACTAATTTTGCAAATCTCAAAAAACCCTAGGCAACACAATCCCCGTGAAACCTGCTACGGCACTCAAATGGACGCCAGAAGCAGAAGCCACCTTTGAATCCTTAAAACAGGCGATTGCCAATGCCAGGCGGCTAGAACAATTCAAACCACAGTGGGACACCAAAATCCACTGCGACGCCTCGGCCACCGCCATTGGCGCAATCCTGGTCCAGATCGACCACGACGGACAACCACACATCATCAAATATGCCAGCAGAGTCCTGACGCCTGCTGAGACCCGTTACTCAAATACACAAAGAGAACTCCTGGCAGCAGTATGGGCAACAATCAAAAAGTTCCGACACTACGTGGAACATCAACAATTCAAAATCGTCACGGGCCACAAGGCATTACTAGGAGAGCTAGTCAACATGAGACTCATTGCTCTCCGCCTCAAACTGGAACCATTCCAGCATACGTTTGTACACCGGCCGGGCAAAACCCTCACAGGGCCAGATGCCCTCAGCCAAATCCAGCTCAACAGCATACAACTCCGTGAAGTACCCAGTCCTGGGCAACGCGCAGATATCATAGACCAATATCATGAGGAAATGGGCCACACCAACTGGAAAAAAAGCTTCGACACAATCCGCAAAAGGTTCACTTGGCCTGGCATGCGCACCAACATCTTTCATCATGTCATACAATGCGCCAAATGCTTCACATTCAACTCGGCAACCGCCGCAGTGGATACCGAACTCATACTGGTCCCGCCAGCAGACAAGCATGATGGACTCAGAGTTGACTTCTGGGGACCATTCCCCCCATCCACAAACGGCAACTGATATGCCATAGTAGCCATCGACTACTACTCACAAAGAGTGGTCACCACACCCATCAAACGCGCAACGGCAAACGCCCTATGCAGCTTCCTAGCAGACGTTTTTGCCCAATTGGGCACCTTCAAAATAATCCATTCAGATGGAGCAGCGGTCTTCAACTCAGCACCGTACAAAAGATTCATCACGGCAAATCAAATTGCGTCACACATTGCCCAGCCATACCATCCCAAAGGCAACGGCACCTGTGAGCAAGCAATAAAATCCCTGTCGGCAATCATAGCCAAGACAGCACCAACCCCTACCATGTGGGATGACGTCTTACTTGACGCAGCAATCGCATACAACCAAACGCCACACACCGCAACAGGGCTACCACCCTTCAAACTATGGCACAAAGAACCAATACTCACCCCAGCAGACATAAAGTTTGAACTGCCGCCAAGGGACATAACCCCTGAACTCCAACAAGTCAAAGTAACTAACCAAAGATACCGCAAACTCTACATTCAGCAGGCCAATAAACACCGCAAACCCGAATTCAAACTCGGCCAAATGGTGACCCTCAGGCCACAACTGAAAACAACGGAAAAACATGCCACAAACTGGCGCTTCTTACCCAAACGCTTCGGACCATTCCGAATCACAGCAGTGCTCAGGAAAGCAAAATATAGCGTCCAAACCCCCGCGCGTGACCGACAAGCAAATGCCTGATGGGAGTTACAAGCATATAACTTTCCCGTTGCGCCACCCCCTACTATACCAAAATATCTCATGCAACAAAAAAGTACAAAATCCCTCTGTTCACAGGATACGGAAGAAACCGATTGGCCTCGACTTCACCTGGACCCAGGGACACTCAACGCCACGGACGGATCTGACGACAAAGCCCATCCCCTGACAAGCTCCCCCGAAGTGCATCAGGCATGCAGCAAGATGCCCTACCAGGCCCAAGCCACGCCAGACCGCTCTCTGCCACGCACCCCCACGGCGACGTCGCCGGTATCCAGCGTCGACATTCCGTCATTTGACAGCCCTCCCCAGGAACCAACACCGCTGCCTCAACCAGATATAAAAACCACTGCAAACGCCACAGATTCCCCAGCTCCAGCAGCTCCAAATTGTCAGTGGAGGAAACGCCAGCGGACATCAAGCCCCGTCTTTGGACACTGGCGCAACTGCTCGACAGCACTGGACCCATCACCGACAATGAATACTAACCACAACAACCTCATCTCAACAGGATCTCAAGATGCCCAAGGATCTCGACCAAAACGCCGCCGCCGACGGCCCTCGCAATACCATCAGCCTTGGCCTCCTCCTCCCTTGTTCTTTTGCCGCCGCCGGCACCTTTCTTTTTTGGGGGGGAGAGTACGACCCCTGCATGGGTCCATAGGCGCCGCCATGATGGCCTGCGCAAAAGGCCTAAACACGTCATTGACTGTTTCTTTTTACTTTGTGACGCCGCACCAATCCAAACTGGCTGACACAATACAGCACGCGCGCGCTTGTGTCAACCAACTTGCACCCATATCCCTGAGGCCTAAGAGAGCCTCACTTTGTCTATAGCTCCGAAACCGAACAGTCGTCACAAGAATCAGTGCCTTTTATCATGTGTACTGTATTAGTCATAATCTGCTACCTGAGTGAGTGCCAATATAAACCGCTACCGTTGTGTTCCACTTAGTGTGTGCTTTTCTACAAGAAGGTGCCAGCGCCTAAGTGTGTGTGTGTAGAGACAAAAGTCTTACTATTTTTCACCATCACACGAAGATATCACACACCACGAGGAGATCTGGACTCATTCCATGCATTTCATATTTCCGTATCTACACCGGACGTTCTTCGAATTTGCCCTCCAGCTACGCCGCAAAATCCAAATGCAACGCACGGCCAAGCACAGCAGTTGCCCAAACAATGCACGTTGGATATCAATAATGGTAACATAGGTGTCACAATAACGAACAGCAGCAAGCATGCATTCATCCATCCGTACTCCAAGGGTCTTCCACAAGCAATCATGTGCTGGTCATAGAAGCAAGTCAATTACTGAAGTGTGTACACATCTGAAAAAGAAGGTTGAGCCCAGATTTTGGGAACTGCAACATCTAGTTGCAGATGGAAAAATATGAACAGATTTGCCCCTCATTGGAATTCAGAAACAATGGATGAACAGCAGCACAGTATCTATATCTGGTGTGATGCTGCAGCAAAAAAGGTAAAATCATAGATTTGATTTTGAACGTTATAGTGTGCAAGAGGAAGAGTTTTCAGTTTCTGTTTGTGCTGCTACTCCTGCTAGTGACACGCGGTATGGTACAACTTCAGCACTATCTCTTCCACGCCACCCCTGGGAGCGCCGATCTCTCCTAGAGCCATCATTTAGCAACTTCAACTGTAATGATTGGGCAGTGTAAATTCATTGGGTGATTTATGACTAGAAATCTTGTTGGATACTCAAAACTTTAAAAAGTTTTGAGTATCCAGTTTGGAAATGTTTTTTACATGATTTGTGATATGTTATTTGAATATTCATAACTTGCTTTATTGACTTAAAAAATTGTTCATATACTGCATGTGCACTGCTGTACTCTGGTTATTTGTCCCTGTGAGTCTCCCTAGATATAACATCCCAAAATCATTGCAGTTGAAGTCACTCATCCATGAAAGCCACTGCTGCTGATAGCTATGAGAGAGATTGGCGCCGCCTGGTGATGAAACTTATGGAAAGCCAGCTCAGATTTTTCTAGGTCACTTCATATTTTCGATGAAACCATCATGAAAACCTCAAAAAACTTCTGATTGTTTTTGGCCTAAATTTTTCAATGACCATGACTCTTAGTCATAATACAACTGAGAGATTCCTGTCCAAATTGGAATTTACTTTGAACTCATGGAAAGTGCACTCACAGTTCGGCAAATTTATTTGCCCTTTCTGATGGGTTTCACTTGGCTATCAATTTAACTTTAATTTAGGGAAAACATTCTGGAAAGTTGGTTAACTTGTGAGTTGGAGTTAAAAGTGCAACTTGTTTCAGAGTTACTGTTATCAAGTTCAGCCTCCATGGATTAAGTGCATTGACTGTTGGCCACAATCTCAGTTGACAAAAATCATTCAGGCCTCAAAAGTAAAAACTTCTCCATGGGAAGTAACTGAAAGATAATTTGAATTATAATCTGAAGTTAGAGTTGGTGAGTCATTATAGGAGGGTTTGGGAACATGCTTATCAGTATCATTCTCTGAGTAGGGTGTAGAGAAATCCATTTGTTTGCTGAGCCATTGGCACCTTGTACAGCAAGGGTTCAAAGTTCCCTTCTTGATTGAGTGAGTTCTTCCAACTCTTCATGTAAAAAGTTAAATTCAAGGGAGTTGTACATAATCAAGAATTAAATCATGCTGTTTAGCACATCTTCAAAAAGGTGAAATTTTAAATTATTGTTGTTTGATATATACTCTGTAGGCTACATCTCCTTTCCAGATAGCCGTGGAGTTCAGGATCAGTTTGGGGGTCAGAGCTCCTTGGAGTGATTAGTCTAGATTGCCTGGGTGTTGAGGTTGAGTATTGTCTTGAAATTCTACATAACAATACAAGGGTTCATGAAACCAAGTCTTGAATCCTGCTTAAGCTTCTATAGTAGGGATGTGTTGTCTGATATTAAATAAACAACTTCAGATGGAATATATATAAAAGAATATATTT